CATAATTTAATCAAAAATAACCAAAAAACTCGAGGAACAAAACAGGTAACAACGCTAGTTTTATACAGAACAAGCAGTATGCCAATGTTCTCCACTGCTGAGAGGTTTGAATACTGACTGTACAACATTCCTCATACAGAGGTATGGTATTTGTCGTTCTGCTTGTCCAAGGCATCGCAGAGTGATGGATCCTGGTGAGTGGAGGGAGCAATTTATCCACACCCAACCAGATTATGGCAAACCCCAATCACAGGATGAAACTCTTTTTTAAAGCAATATATAAACTAGAAAGCATAGTTTCCTCAAAAGATTAGGGCAGCCAGTGCAAATATATATGGCAGCAGCCATCTGGGATTTTGATGTGGCAACCCAGTGTTTGACAGTGACCTTTCTTATGCCGAGATGTAGTCAACCACCAAAATGGAAGTTGGTACCTCACTTACCATAATTTCCAGACCTATAAACCACTACTTTTTTCCACACGCTTTGAACTTGGCTTATACAATTCTGTGGCTAATTTATGGATTTTTTTTTTTTTTTTTTTTGACAAGCTTCTTGCCGTCAAAATATTTAGCCTCGTCATACGCAGGTGCTCAAATAGCTGCCCAATACATGTCTCTTGGTGGTGGTCTGTGGGGGCGGGGTTTCCTTGTTACTCAATGAGACTACCTGTATAAATACTGTAAAGGTAAAAAAAAATAAAAATCTGATCAATGAACCTACCGAACAGGTCACAGTGGACTAATGAAACTGTTTCAACCCCCTCCCTCTTCTCTCCTCCCTGTTGTGTACAACAAAGTATTTGCAGCCAGTCTAAAAGACAGTGACTCGTAAATCAGCGATAAAGGACTTTTCCTGTTTTATTTTTTTGTTTGTTTGTTTGTTTTTTACCAGCTGTGTTACAGGCAATGTTCTGAAAAAAACGTGATCAGACTGACAAAGTCTTTTGGATTAAAGATGAAACGTTTCAACAAGAAGAATCTGTCCAGAGGACCTGACTTTATTTTTTTACATAGCGATCAGTGACTTTTCCAGGTAGGCTACTGTATTTCTTTTTCTTTTCTTTTTTTAAAACCAGCCATGTTAAAGGCACTGCTCGGATAAAAACATTTACTGTACATGCACAGTAAAATTTCCAGAGTAAAATTTACTCAATTTGAAAAAAAATTTACTCTAAAAAA